GGCTCTAGAAGAGTTTGGTGGTGGGTGGGTTGTTTCCCCAACAAATTTTCGGGTTGTGTTTTTTCGCGAAGCACCGAGTGGGTGGAGGCCGCGCAAGGAAAGGTTTGAGAGTGTTTGGAGGCCACGGAACCGGTGTTTGTATGTGTGCGTATGTATACAAACCACTTTGCGCTGCTGTGGCAGCTGGGGACGCGGAGGCCATATGTTCTTAAGTTTGGAAGAGCGACGGCCAAAAGAAGGACAGGGGAAAGAGAAAGCAAAGAAGCAGCGAGCGTCGGCCACGCTGTGTTTTTAGAGCGGATTGAGCGGCCGAGGCCATTGAGCCATGTGTGTGTCTGTCCATGATGGAGCCCATGAGCGCAGGAACTCGGGAACAGTTGCGGATTAAAATTCTGGGAATACGGGCGTAAACATTGGCGACTCCTTTTCAAGTATAAAAAACCCCCGGGTCCCCGAAAGCATCGCAATCATATTTACAAGCAGAAACAAAGTTAAGGCGGGCCTCGCGTGGCCTCGCGCATTGGGAAAATGCGAGAATGGTGGCCTCGCTTGGCCTCTTACTTTGCTTGAAACAAGCGATCAGTGGCTTTTCATGTCGCCTCAGGATCATGCGCAATAGGCCACAAGAAACGGTCGCACTGCTGCTATGTTAATGATTTGTCGGCGCAGTTCCCAAATAATGTTGGCTTCACCTTTCACAATGCATCGTCAAACAAATCTTCTTGCCTACAGAAGCTGAAAGTGGCATCGCAAAAATGGTTGTTTTTTGACGACCGACCCAAGTACCTCCCCAGTATCCATCATTTTGGGGTCCAAAAACCCTAGCAAAAACGGTCTCGCCATGGAGGGCCTCCCCAGTTGAATTGTTGAACTGGGGAGGCCCACTTTGGCAACCCCGGCATCCATTGCGTTTTTGGTCTTCGATTTTGGGGCCGCCAACGGGCAAGATTTTCGCTTGTGTCGCGACCCGCTTGTTCTGGCATGGTGACAACAACGCCCAGTGTTTTGGGTGGTCGGTTGCTCGTCGTTTGTTGGTTTGGGTGAACGTGAAAAGGTTGGCTGTGTGTCTGTTGGATGTTGTTTGGTTCTTGGTTGTAGGTTTGGGTAGAGGATGTCGGTTGGAGAAGCAGTTGCTTTATGGTTCTCTGCTGGGTTGTTTTCCCGGGGAATATGCGCGTGCGTAGTGTTCACCGTGTATTGGCGCGGGTTTTGATACGTCAACTTTCCAATCGATCATTGTCTACTTCCTTGTGGCACTTGCCCAAAAAATGGCCCACGGGGCCTCGCTTCCACCACAAGCAGGTCGGACTGGAGACCACTAGTATCCAAAAGCAAGTCGGCGTAGTGGTCCTGCAAACTTGTTTTATTCTATAAATAATTCTATTGCAGGACCCGTGCTCTCTCCCTGCAGTTTCCACTCCAGCTGGTCCTGCGCAGCCCTGCGTCAGCGCCGCCCGGCTTCCAGAGACCAGCTGACTGATCAGGGACAATGTGAAGCGGCCAAGCGGATCACGATGCGTGCGAAAATCTTGTCCACTCACGGCCGCAAAACCAAGCGCCAAAAACGCAGTGGATTCCAGGGTCGCCAAAGTGGGCCTCCCCAGTACACCACTCATCTTACACCGCTCATCACACACCGCCCATCTTACACCACTCGTCACGCATTGCGCACCCCTCGTCAGACACCGCTCAACACGCACCACTCATCACGCGCCACTCATCTTACACCAATCATGGCAGACCGCCGCTCATCACACACCACTCATCACACACCACTCGCCACACACCACTCATCTCCCCCACTCATCTCACACCACTCATCAAACCTCATCACTCACCACTCACCGTACACCACGCATCACACACCGCCCATCACACACCACTCACCCCACACCACTCATCTTACAGCACTCATGGCACACCACTCATCACACACTACTCATCTTTCACCACTCATCACACACCACTCACCACACACCACTCATCACACACCACTCATCACGCACCACTCATCTTACACCACTCATCGCACACTACTCATCTTACGCCGCTCATCACACACCACTCATCACACACCGCTCATCACACACCACTCATCACACACCACTCACCACACATGACACACCACTCATGACACACCACCCATCACACACCACTCATCTTACACCACTCATCACACACCACTCATCTTACACCACTCATCACACACCACGCATCACACACCACTCATCACACACTGCTCATCACACACCACTCATCACACACCACTCATCCGTCCTCTTTTCTTCTCAGTCCCTACTTCTTGTTGCTAGTTCTGACAAGCTTAACGTGTGGGGTTTATCCGGTCCTAATTTTATTCGAATGCTGAGTGATTGACTTCTAGTTTCAACAGCTTTGATTGGCTTCCGAGTCAAGGGAACGCATGTGCTCTGGAGTTCGCTTCACTCACTTTTCTCCTTTCCTTTCCACGTTCTCTAACTTGAATGTGAATGTCAGACCAAGCGCACAGTACTCCTTTGTTCTGTGAGGGTTGACCCAGGTGGATCACTGGAGGAGATCATGAGTTTAGACTGTGGAATTCAGGGGTTGAGACGACTGGAGATCTTACTCACTTCGTTTCATTTGTTTTCGGTTTGAATGTCTCTTATGATTGAAGAGATTGTGATGCTGATGATGCGAGTTCTGGGATTGGAACCCGGAATTTTCCGGCAACGCAATGTTGTCTAGGGCTTTCTGGAAATCATAGAATTCTTCGAGAAAATAGTTTAGGGTTTTCGGTTTAACTTTGTGTCCTTGCCTGCCAGGTACCTTCTTGAGCGTTTGTCGCTCAAGGATCCCAGTGAGGGACCCTTCCTTTCTCCTTTTTCTTGCGCGTGACTTGCTTGTTGGCGTGTGTGTTGACTTGAGAAGTTGCGTGCATGGTTGAGTTGAGCTTGGCGTGCATTTGCTGAGTTTGCTGGTGAAGACTGAGAGACGTCAATGGTTGGAAGCTTAAGTGCTGAGCTTAGTTTTTCAATCGAATGAGGACGAGAACGAGAAGGAGGAAGAAGAAGCAGAGGAAGAAGAAAAAAAAAAGAAGAAACAGGAGAAGAAACAGGAAAAGAAGAGGAAGAAAAACAAAAAGAAGAAGACGAAAAAAAACAGAAAAAAACAGAAGAAGACAGAAACATGGAATGTACAGAGAGATGTAGCAGCAGCCAGCCAGCATGTAGCGACCCAAGAAGGGGCGTGAAAGTTCAGGAGTGAGCAAAATGGTTCCCTACATGTAGCTTTGCTTAGGGATTTTGATTTTTGATTTGCCCTAAGAGTGGCGCCTCTTTGTGTTTGGGTTCCTCTCTTGTTGTTTGGTTTGGGCAGAGTCTCAACCACAGTGGTCTTGGAAGACTACTTAGTTGTTTCCTTTTGTTTGAAGAACTTTCTTGGTCTTTTGACTGTTTAGCTCAAGAGCCAGAGACTTTGGTCTAGTTTTGGCTGCGTGAACGCTTTGCTGAAAGCCTCAATGCTAGCCATTTTGGCGCAAGAGCGCGACTGAGAACAGGGACTGCTGCGCTGTCCGTGTGAGCTGGGTAAGACTTGTGAGATCTCGCAAGGTGACTCCTTGTGTGAGTTAGCCCTCTCGAGCAAGCTCCGGTTTCTTACGCCAACTGTCATGAACATGCATTTTGTGGACGGCCCAGATCTGATATTTGTTTCTCTTTCCTGCATTTGTTGTGAGAGTGGCCGCAGTCCGTCTGTGATTTCGCCGTGCAAAATCTGTCTGTGATGTGGCAGTGTATGCGAGGCTGGGTGTATATGGTGTGTGGCACACCGTGTGACAAAGTCCGTCTGTGATGTCGCTGTGCCATGCGGCTTTGCGCGGCGTCGGCGAAAAGCGCGTTCGCGTGAGTCCGTGCCACTGGGGGGAGGAAAACAAGCTGGTGGTTGCTGGCGCGAATGCGGCGTGTCGGTGGGGAACCAGGGGAGTGCCGGATGTGAGTTGCGTGTAGAGTGTAAGTGTGGCACACCGTGTGGCCAGAGTCCGTCTGTGATGTCGCTGTGCCATGGGGTTTTGCGGGGGGTCCGTGAAAAGTGTGTCAGTAGGAAAGCGCGCTAATTAGAGTAAATGCGGCGTGTCGCTGTGGAGCCGGATGAGTGGTAGTGTGGCATGGTTGTATGTAGTGAATGTAGTGTGTGGCACACCGTGCGAAGAGTGTTCGATGTTGTTTTTCGGACCCGGCGTGTTCAGTGCCGAACGATGCGAATTTTTGTGCGCACTGGGTTGCTTGGCGATGTCACGAACGAAATGAGCAACCAAAACAGCTCTTTGTGTTCAGAGAAAAAGAGAGCTCTATGAGCTCTATTCTTGAGCACGTTTTGAGTAGAACTTTCGGGCCATCAGGGGGTGTAGTTTGTTTTTTGAACACATGTTAGGTCTGTGAATGACAAAACCTCATTGCAACAGAGTAATGTGCAGGGAAACATGCAGCGATTTGGGCTTTAGCAGACGCAAAGTGGGATATTTGCATTTCTGAGAAGATCAGCGTGAACGAGTGTGCGAAACCTCAACCAACTTTTGATACGCGAACTGCTGGGTAGTTTGCACTTCCTGTGTGTTTTGCAATCCATAAAAAAGGTAATGTTCCAATTCCATGCAACCCATGCTGTATGTCTTTACTCCGTGACGCAGACAAACCATCTAGATCTTGGATGCAACGGATTGTTTTTCTCCGCCGCAAATCAGGCTCAAAAAGTTTTCAAAAAACATGCCACCACCACATGCCGTATGCAACGGAAAACAGGAACCAACGAAAAATTGTTTTGGTTTGCGCAACGGTTGCAAACACACCCACGGTTTGTTTTTGTTCGTTGCGCTTGCGCTTGCAGAGCAATTTAGTAAGCTCTCACGAAGCGTGTCTCGATGAACAGTTCAATGACATACACACAACATTTGCAGTGTAAAAATGTGGATCTGCTGTGTAGACATGTCAGGAAACACAATTTTGATTTGAACAACCAAACAGTTTTTGACGTACCTTTTCAACACCTCCATCAGCAATGCATGAAAATGGGTTTCGGACATCCGCCACCAGGACCGTTTTTTGAATTGTTCTAAGATGGTAACAACAATTGACGAGGAATCGTTAGCAAATTGCAGATTAGGATCCTTAATGTGACCAGTGTGATGGATGTTTTGAGATTTTCAGGCCAAACGCAGCCAGCGCCAGGGTGCATTTGGGTCAGGCGCCGGGTGAGACAGCTGCTCCGTGGGGGTCCCTGGTAGTTCAAGAGGGGAAGGACTGTCCAGATTTTTTTTGGAAAATATTTTACACAATTTTTTTGGCAGTGATCGTGGAATAGTTAGAGACAAATAAGGTGGGAGTACAAAGATACTATTAATTATATAGTGTATCTTTTGGATGGCACGATTGGTTGCTTGCGAAGTTCGTTGAAACTGGTAGACATCGGGAAACCGTTGTGCCTTCAGGTTGCTTCACCAGATGTTGCAGCTTATGCCTCGATTGCATGGACATTCTGTTGCGTGCGGCCTGGTTGGCAAGTTGATTTGCCACCCGGGAGAACCGCGTTGTTGGAAGTGAACATAGTTTTTCCTGTGAGCTGCTCTGCTTTGGGTTTGACTGTTTCCATGTTTGCGAAGAATTCAGACATGAGTTGAGGGTATGCCAGTTTGTTTACATGATTGACAGGGACTTCTAGCCTTGGGCTTTGAATTGAGGTATTGGGACCCCTAATGGTCTTGCTTGCCGTATTCTTAATCGGCTTTGTCGCGTGCGCCGTTTTTCCACTGCACAGTTCAAGCAACTCGAAGGTTTCGTTTGTGACTTCCTGTGGAAGTGTTTCAGGTACACCTTTTTTACGATAATTGTTCCGCAGCTGGCTGATGAGGGGACGTCCTCCCCTATGCACTTGCCTCAGTGTGGGGTTTTACCCAAGAAGGCTCCGAAGAGCTGACTTGCAGGCTGCTTGGGCAGCTTGCCTTGGGATGCTTCATACTGGCGGAGCAGCTTGTTTGAGTGGAGTGCTGACAAGAGAGTTGTGTTCGACTGCTGTTTGGTTCATGTGTCATGTGTTCCTTGCCAGGTGAACATCATGTACAACTATGCGATGGCTGTTTGTCTTCGTGCGGGTGAACCACCTCCTTTCCCAGGTGAGCATACCACCCAACGTGGGGATGCAGTGGATTTGAGACAACTTCAGGCGAAGGAGATGCTGAAGCAGGGGATGGCAGTCTGTCGCTGAGGCAATGCCAGAAGCGCGAGGCCCAATGTCTTTTCTTCACCTCCATGACAAATATGAGATGATGGATGATGTCGACATAATCACGAAAGCTAGCGAAGCTAGCTGGAGTTACTCTTGCGATAGCAAGGTTTCTTTCGATCGGGTGCAAATCCTAACCCCTGATTTTTCAGGTCGAAGCCCCCCCCCCCTCACTCTCACTCTCACACTCTCACTGTCTCTCTCTCTCTCTCATCTCTCTCTCTCTCATCTCTCTTTTCGCTCTCTCTCTCTCTCTCCTCTCTGTTTCTCGTCTTTCCGTCTCTCTTCTCTCTCTTCTCTCGCAGGAGGATCCGGGCAAAGAGCCACATGGGAGTGTAGCTCCATTGGTCGGTCGGAGCCGCATCACCTCCAACTTGAGATCCTTGAAGTGGAAGACGACGGACAGCAGATCGCACCTAAGACGACCGTTGGTCCGGGTTGAGGTGCACACGAGGTGGCTGAAACTGTCTTCCTCCCACCTTCCCTCCCTCCTCCCTCTTCGCAAGTTCGACTCCGTCCTGTCGTCGCTCTTTGGCATGCGGTTAGCGTTGCGTATCTTGCGGCCGCACTCGCTCACTCTCACTCTCACTTTCTCACTTTCTCACTCTCACTCTCACTCTCACTCTCACTCTCACTCTCACTCTCACTGTCTCTCTCTCTCTCTCATCTCTCTCATCTCTCTCATCTCTCTCATCTCTCTCTCTCTCTCATCTCTCTCTCATCTCTCCCTCATCTCTTTCTCATCTCTCTCTCATCTCTCTCTCCTCTCTCTCTCCCTCTCTCTCTCTCTCTCCTCTCTGTCTCTCGTCTTTCCGTCTCTCTTCTCTCTCTTCTCTCGCAGGAGGATCCGGGCAAAGAGCCACATATAAAGGACTCTTCACCTGGAATCGTTTGCCCCGCCCAACTTGTGCAAGGCGTCCTGCCTTCTGCTACTCCGTGCGACTGCCTCCAAAAAAGAGCGCCGTGTTTTTTCCTACCTCGCTGCCCTCCACTTTCCCATTCTGGAGCGCTAGCTTTCGCCCCCCCCCCTTGGCCTCAAGTCTTGTGAATGATTCCAAATGATAATTTTTTCTCACATGACCGCTGGGGGACCGAGGAGAGCGAATCCAGCGCCGGTGACGAATCGTCCGTCCTTCGTCCTGACGAATCAAGGTGCCTGCGGTCAAAGCCACCCCGGGCTCATCATTGCAGCGCCACTTGGCTGGTGAGTGCTGCCACTGAATGTGCGCTTTGGTACATATTGACATATTGCCATATAGTCACTGTTACTGGATTGCAATTTCTTTCACGATCAACGTCTGTTGTCGTCGTTTCTGGCCTCTCTTGTTGAAAGAACCGGTTGCGCAGACGGGTCCTCCGTTCGGCTTTGCGAGCGGCCAAAGTGGCCATAACTCACCCTGTGATGCACTTGAGAGGAACATCCACCCAACGGGAGACACTGCACCACGCGGCCTGTGTTGCATTCAAGTCCCGATCAGTGCACGATCATTGAATATGGGTGGATAAGGGAACTGTCCAAAAGCAGCGACGATTTCGAGCAAATTGTCTACTAGAGTTTGCTCCAGAGTGAACATTGTGACAGGGTGTGGGCATCTTTGTCTTGCCATGTCAGGGATCAGTGTGGTCTGTCACCCCCTTCTTCGATCCACTGCCAACCAACAAGTATAAGCGGGAAGGCGCCAAGGCATTTCGCACGGCTCAGATGGCCTTTTGCCCTTTGGTGCGTTGAAACGATGACTGTGGCTGATTCGTTTACAAAATGATGGTGCCTTGCAATCCTGAAAAACCGTCGACGTCTTCTGCGTTTGCTTTGAGCTCACTGTTTTTTTGTGTCTAAACAGTGTCTGCCGTCACAAAGATGTCTCAGGAAACGGGGATGTATTTTATCTTCATGCTATAGAAAACCCATGCTCCTGGATGAATGCGTAAATTGATGCAAAGGACAAACCCATCCATGTAAACAACCAGATCCATTGGCATCAGGTCTGCAAGCAATGCGTGATGAAGATGGACCACCATTGTCCTTGGATCAACAACTGTGTTGGTTTCAACAACTACAGGCCGGGTTCCTGGGATGTGTGGAGCTGGAACTTTGCTGTGTCTGGCTTGGACCTGTGCAACTGCCAGATACTTTTGCCTCTTCATGCTCTATCTGGCCTTGCTGAGCGCTAAGAGCCTTTTGGGCCAAGCCCACCCGAAACATTTTCTTGGCTTTTTTGGGCCTTCAGGGGATGCTTGTACGTGGTCATTCTTGGCTATCGGCTTTTCTTGCAGTCGGTGGCACCCATCAGGAGATGCAGTCTGCTTGCAGGTGTTTTGTTTCTGGGCCGAAAGAACACCAAGAGTCTCATTCGGTCAGCCATTTCATGGCCATGGGCCGAAAGTTGGGCAGGAAGAGACCTCCCAACTTTCGCTTTGCGGATGCGCAGTGCCGTGCCCCAGATCTGGGCTGGGATCGGTCGGGCAGCTGAGGAGTGTTTGGTTGGGCCCAGGGTTTCGACACGCGAAAGACATGGCAGGTGTCTATATATAATTCTTTTGAGAAGGGGACAGTTAGCTGATTCTTGGTTTCTTTCTGGTAGTGCTGCTTGCAGATCTATGTAGCCTAAGCCGTCTTTGTTGTGCATCGGGCCTTCCCAGGTGTATCTCGCTCTCCTGGCTGATCTCCTTGTGCATCTTCCTGGCGTGCCTGGGCGGAAAGAGGAGGTACCATCCTAGGGATGTATGACTCTTGGGCCATGCTGGGTGTGTTCATGGAGAGGTCTACCCTGTATTTGTATGAAAGAAGCTGACTGTTTGCTGCTTGATTCGAAGGTGTTGATTGTCGATGAAGATGTTAAGCGTTTCCTTGACACACGCACACACACACACACACTCGGGATATTGCATACGAAACTGATTGCCGTTAGCCATACGCCAACCTAAGTGAACAACCTTAATAAACAGGAGGTAAGTATATGCAGTGTGGTCTGGCCATCAATTTTCAATGTTCAAGTTCAGGGCTGTCAAGGTTTCAAAAGGACTCCAAAGCCGACAAAATCGACAAACTCCATGTGATCGAAGACGACGAAACTTGTTTGCAGAGCTCAGAACCGATGCAATGGCCAGCGGTTTGTTCTAGCTAGTGACAAAGGGGCCCAGGAGGAATCACAGCAGGTACGTCACTGGACGTCTCCCCCAGTGATATCATGTGATATCCTTAGGACACTGCAGAGAGGTTAAGTGGAGCTCTGCAGGCCTACTCCACTCCCTGCATGCTTACTCCAAATGGTGACCTATGATTTCAAGCAGTATGTTTATATATATATATATATTATTATATACACAACACACACTCGGAGCTTAAGCTGGTAGTTTTTCCGACTGAGGCTGTGTCTTCTTGGTGGGTTTCACGCGTGCCTCGGCGGTAGATTCATTGTATGGCAGTCGGAAAAACTCTGCGATCTTTCGGTGGTCGGAGAGGTACTTGGTGGTGACGAACCAGACAACCATCGAGTTCCATATCAACATGGGCAACCGACATGCTGCAAAACGAAAGGGAGAAGTCTACAGGCAGGGAGTTCACACTTTTATTTCCAGACTCTGCTGTTGTAATTAATTCTTCGAGCATTTCTTGTTCCAGCACAGCCAGGAATCCGTATGATCTAGGCCACTCTCGGAACTTTCAGGAGGCTGGGCGCTGCATGCGACATGGCCTCCTTCCACCATAGAGATGACCTTGCAACCCCAGCATCAGCTAGTGTAGCAACATGGGTCAAGGTTTTGGCAAAATGACAAAACCACGAAACCCTTGATTTCAGGTCGTGAACGTGGCACCAAAATTTGTTTGCCAACATGTGGCTCGCGGTCCTTTGCTCGCCAGGTCTTTGGACCAAACCGGTTTCTTCATTTCCTTTGGATGATGCCCTATCTGGCCAAGAGGCCAGGGTGCGGTATCGTCTCCGTGTTTCATTGGTGGACCAACTGCAGGATGGAAGAAATTGGTTGCCGGAGGTGGCACCTTACATGAATGAAATGGGAACCTGAGCATCTTAAGGAAGGTGAAGGTGGCCACATCCCCACGTTTCCCCACGTTTTCCCGGTCCGGGCCCGTCCCCGTGTCCATGCTTCGCTCTCTGCGCGATCTTCGGCTTCCAAGGCCGACGGGAAGCGGCGCCTCATTTCCCACGGTCTCCGAGTTGGAGCCAGTGTGAGAGCTAGACCACTCGGTCTGAAAAAAAGGGAGGTCGGAACTGGCTGGTTGCAAGACCCGTGGTGGCAGATTGTGGCGGATTCTTTTCGAGTGCTGGTCAAGGAATGGAGTGCAGATTTTTGCTTGGAATCATTGCTCAAGCATTAGCTTCATTAGCTGTTCAGTGCTTGTGGTAACCACGAGAACACTTCAAACCCAGCGAAGCCATGCAATAGCTCAAAACAGTGTATCTGGATCATTTCATTCAGAAAGCTTGTTCAAGCGAAATGTTTGCATTCTGAAACTTGAACCCTCCAGACTGTTTGCCATGGCTGGCCAGATTCTCAGTTTGCAGATTCCAAGATAGGTATAGACAGAATTTGGCTGAGCTTTTCAAAGCCTTCTTGCAATGGAACGCATCGAATTTACCTATGCCGACTGTGCTAACCATGCGCAAACAGAAACTCTTCCAGCTTGGCTGAGCACCTTGTGTCTTGTGTCCTTGGTGGTTTTGAAGTTGAGGCCACATGCTGGGCTTTGCGCGAGTGAGAAGACTCTTGCCGCTGAGCCGTATGACTTGGCCAAAGCCCAAGCTTTTCTGCTGATACTTCATGTTTTCACAGACATCCGATGGCTTTCAAGAACGACTAGGGTTCTGATATGATTGTGTTATGGGGGAGAAAGTGCCCATTATAGGTGTGAACAGGACCCTTTGTGTAGGACAAATCTCTCCGTTTACTTTGACCGAACATTCTACACCATACTTCCCCCTCGGCGGCTACGGGCGGCGCAGCCTTGTGCGGCTCAGGCGCAACATCGCGGTGGTGGCGGAGCAGACGCCCAATCCCGACTCGGCTTTGGCCTCGAAAGCATGTTCGATGCGAGTGATCCGTTGGGAAGATGAGTGAACATGTCTAGAACGTCAGCGCGTTCAGTGTGCGGTGTGTGGGGGGCGATGACCTGACATGGGAACCTTGGAACATCTTGGAACATCTTGGACCCCTCTTTAGGTCTTCTGGGTTGATTCTACAGCTGAGCTGAGAAGGTCTCTGAGCTCTCTGAGCTCAGCTGAGGTCTCTGAGCTCAGCTGCGCTTCCTGAGGTCATGTTCTATCCGACGGAAAGGGACGTCCTGGGCGAGGGGATTCAGACGATGCGATTTAGCAACAAGTGCCGCAACAAGTGCTGGTCATCTCCGGTCTGCATCACCTTGGACACATTGGATGTGGGGTGGAACACCCCATCGGAGGTCTAAGACCTCCGATGGTCCCCAATAGCAAACAGGGATCGGCTGAAGATGATTGGTTGGGTTGGGTGTCTCCCGGTCCGGCCGGTGGGTCTGCCAGGTACGAGACCAGCGATTCCCCCCTGGCCGCGGCCATTTTCAAGGCGAGTACTTTGAGAGCAGGAGTCCGCAGAGCTGGTTCCTAGTAGCTTCTTGTTGCCAGTAGCGATGCCAGGAGCCCCGTTCGTAGCGTCCGATCGCACCTAGTAGTAAGGCCGGGAGCCCGGAGCCCCTAGTAGCCTCTTATTGTAGTTGTTTTTGGTGAGGTCTCAGGTGCAGAGCAGACACTATCCTTTCATCATGCCTTTCATCCCATCGATTACTTGGCGTTGGTATTGGCTTGGTGACCACAGGTGTTTCACTCCTGGTTTGCGTTCTGGTAAAACCCAACGTGGGTGCATGCCATGCGATGGCATTCTATTTTTCGAATTGGATGCCATCACTGGCTAAGGGCCCAAGGGCCAAGGATGAAAACGTCCCAGCTCTCTCCTCCAAGCTCTCTGGAGTCACTGGAGTGTTACGGGAGTCACCTCAAGATGCACCTCAAGTGTCATTGGATGGCACCTCAAGATGCACGATATCGAGCACCTCAAGCCGGACTCATAGGACAGGAGGGACCAACAGGTTCCTGTGACTTATTTCCAAGAGGTGAAACCCACCGCACTCATGTAGACTGATGTTATTCATAACTCCGTACCAGAATGGTTTTACCATTTAACATCTCCAGGCTTGGCGTCGGTGGATTCCGAAAAGGCCCGAACCCGGATCGACGACTCGTTTTCGTCTCCGAAGGTGAAGGGAGTCAACGAGGTCCTGCTGGCCGCGAAGCACGTCACGGTCACGAAGACCCCTTCCTCCGACTGGTCTGGGACTCGGCCTCGGTGGTGGTTGGGGGCGGAGACGCCACGGAGTTCACTCGGTGGTGAGGAACGATGAAACGTGGCCGACTCGGCCTGGTGGTCGTGGTCGTGGTCGAGCTTTTGGAGGGGAAGTAAGAATCACAAGGAGGGGGGGATGCAGTTGGTGGGTCAATGGATTGGTCAAGTGGTTGATGCAACACGTCTTTCGCACAGGGTCAGATCATTTGGAGTCAATACCGCTGAGAGGTGCCTCTTTTCTCTTTTGGAATCCAGCTGTGGGTTATGGCATCCAAAAGGAAACAGGATTCATATGCGAATCTTTCATGGTGGCATCCCTTGAGTTCCCCTCAAACCCATCCATTGAATGATGTTGGGGGTGGGTTTTCATGACGAACCACTATGAGTGCCAGGAACCTCTTGCAGCCGAACCTCGAGCTGGTCATCAGCCAGTTCTATGCAGCGGGCCTGGAGGAGACCGCCTCGATGACTGCGACGTACGACGATACGAACGGTGTCAAGGTCGTAGTCAGTGGAGTCCGCTAGCTTGAAGTCTTTCATTTGCAGACTTACTGACTTTTCAGGAAGATTGTAAGCTTGTTTATTTTCTCCTGATAGGCGGCCCGCCCTGTCACTCAGCTAGACTCAGCTAGACAATGTTTGTGTATCAATTTTTTGATAGGTGGTCTGTGGTTAAAACCAGCGATGCACAGCAGTGTTGATAAGGTTTTTAGATGTTTTTAGAATCACCGATGATGTTGTGCTTCGTTGTGGAGTGGGTGAACTCCTCGCAAAATGAGTTCGACTCATCAAGTGGAATGTACAACAAGCCTTGGTGAGTTTTTGCCAAATCTGTTGGGAGTTGGAAGGATCAAATACTTTACTTGTCACTTGTCCCACTTTGAAGGTCGGGTTGGCTTGGAAAAGCCCGCCCTCTTCGCCATCTGCTCATTGTTGCGCCTTGTTGCTCCAGGCGCTTAGAGATGGAGTTCCTCGAACGGCACAGCGGGCGGACGCACAGGTGTTCGATCCTGAGAGCATCGAGGCGCGACCAGCGCGGGGCACGGTCACGGGGCATGGTATGGCTGTTTAGGACGACGTCCAAGGCTCGGTATACGGACCTCTTGAGCCGTGGGGGGTTTGGTGGATGTCTGCAGCCACTTCAGGGGCGAATTCTACATCTTTTGGAAGAGCGTGTCAGACCCTTCGTGCAGCAGGAGCGCTTCTTTTCGAATCTTTTCGACCTGGACTGGGCGAGAAGGACGTCGCATTTGGGGGAAGAATCTACAGTACTGTTTTCTTGGTGATTGGCTCGGGATAATGGGCGATGGACTTTGCCGATCGCGTGACCAGCCCTTGTCAGTCGCAGGATGGCGGTGATGTAGAGTTCGACCGATTTGACAACGATTCTGGGGTTTTGTATCTGCGGATGATTGGTGCCTGCCCCAGACACGTCTCACACTGGGCGGATCGAGGATTCCGGGCGATGGAGACACTGAACAGAACAGAACCAATCATTGGTTTGGCACTACGTGGATGAGTTGTGGGGCCAAATCTGGACATCTTCTTACCACATGCAGGCAGCGTCACTTTGATCACGAACAACACATCTGCTTGCTCTGAACCGATTTGGACGGCTAGTGAGCTAGTGAAGATAGTGGTGCCCAAGTAATTAAGTAGAGGAAGTTTTGCTTTGCTGGTTCCCTCCTGTCCGTACTTTCTTTCGCAGGGCTAGAGATTTCATGATTGGCGGTGGGAGCCAGGTGCCTGTTCTGGGTGCCCGAAGTCGAGTGTGACCTTGAACATGGGCATCCGAAACCTCATGGAGCACTACATCCCGGAGGCAGTTACTGTAGTCCTTTTTGCAGTTGCTGTATGTATATATATATAGTCAAGGCCTGGAGCCCCAAACCCTGGTAGATTAACCTCCCTGGTAGTCTATTCTGTTCTTCCCATCGCGTCGAAGCGGTCTTGACTGGCATACCTGGCATTCTGTTCATGTTCGGTGGTCAACCCCACAGCCATGTCAATATAGGTTTCGATTTGTTTTCCTTTCTCATTCAAGGGATCGACCGACACGTCCGGATGTGGTTTGGGAGACATTTTGTTCCGGATCTCTTAGCTCTCTCTTGCTTTCACTGCATGCTTTTGACACATCGACTCTACTTCATTTGTCTAAGCCGTGGGCCTTTCTTTTGCAGGTCAAAGATGTCCTACCGACTGATGACTAGACGGAAGCTGAACAAAAGCGAACCAGAGCGAAGCCGCTACCCACAGGTGGTCGCTAGACCCTTTGCGAAGCACAAAAAGGAGAGGAACGATGCTGTCCGCTGGAGAGTCAGATCTCTGATATGGTGTGTGTCACTGCCAGCGAGTCCGCTCCGCCGCGCCGACGAAACTCTTGGACTTCGCCGGAACGGATCCGTTCGGCCGAACGACCGAATCGTCCGACAGATGCCGACAGATGCCTTGAGGCCTTTCTCATGCTTGAAAAAGACACCTTCCTGGTCGAAAACACTCAAGCTGAGCTCTATGTCAAGTAGAATTGATGTATCAGGCAACAAACAATGATCTGCAGATACGACCCATTCCCTTGCAGAAAGATCGCTGGCAAAATTCTCTTCGGTCCCCAAAGCTGGCGTTCGAAACCTGATGCGTGTTCATTTGCGAACACTGGAGGCATAGTTCAGGAGAGTTGGACTTGTTTGGGTCGGAACACCCCCTAGCAAGAAGCTACTGTAGTAGGTTGGAGGCCATCGCAAGTAGGTTGGAGTCCATCGCCACTACCAGATGAGATCTGGCCATGTCTGGTCCAGTCATTGATGGGATGTATGGGACGCTGAGTGAAACCGATGCGCCAAGCACCAAGGCTGGGCTTCATGTGGTGGAAGCGCAGCAAGTCATGAGAGACCATAACAATCAGCTTGTAAAGCATGGAAGACCACCTTTGATTCAATTTTCCTTCAAGAAGAATCATGGACGACCCGCTTTGCAAACCACTTTGACGACCAACGCGAGTAATGACTGGACGCCGCGCCGCGAAGAAAACGTGGAAGCCCGAAACCTTAAACCCAATACATGGGCACTTTGCAACAATAGCCCCTAGTAGCTTCTTGTTCCTAGTAGTAAGGCCAGGAGCCTTAGTAGGGTCCTCGCTCCTAGTAGGAGCCCCTACTAGCGATGCCCTTGTTCCTAGTAGCGTCGCCCACACGGTGCTTCGCCGGATGCTTCGGTGTCCAGGCGACGCGGTGTATGTCCTTGAGCTGTGCCTTGGGCGCTGCGTTGGGTCTGGCCTTGGCCAAGAGCTTTCGCTTGACGCACAAGGAAGCGCGGGAGGAGTTTGATGTTTTGGGAGAAAACTGGGGGATCAACGATTGTCAGGTATGGCTCGATCATGATGTGCAGTCTTTTGATATTGAGGTTTTCAAGATCTCAAAGGTCTGGATGTAGTGTCGCTGAGCTTTGCAAAGCCATGGTCAATCATGGTTCTTTAAATGTTTTTGTCATGTGAAACAGAGGCGTGAGAATCCCAGCTTGCATGGCAAATGAGTGGCCCATTGCCATTGAGAGAAAAATCAACTTGCTACACATTTGAGGTAGCAATTTGCTGCCTAATCCACTGTTTTACACACTGTCTCGTATCACAAAGATGACATACCACTTCTACAGTTTCTTAGATGAGTCAGCATGATACAAAGGATGAACCACTTGGGGTGTCTCCTTTCCTGCACAACAAATCTCTTTCTCTTGCTCTTTGGCCGCACCGGTCAGTGGGCCTACAACGCGGCCTTCATTGGTGGCGCGACCGCAGGCGCCCCGCACGGGGTGCAGGGTGCGAACCCTGCGGGGTCCTGACCATGGTGGATCCGGTGGGCCAAGGGGTAGAGATCCTCCAGTTTTGGTATGTTTTGGTGCTGAGTTTGGTCTGTTCTCCAAGAAAGACGTCAATGGCACAAGCGGCAGGGCTTTGGCTCTGGCAACTTTGCCTTTGGCTCTGGTGATGTTGGACCCTCTTCGTTCACAACACGAAGTCAGTGGCGTTCATTCTGAAGGAAGGAAGACTAGTAGCGCTAGTAGCGTTATTGCTAGTAGCGATGCCCTTTGTTACTAGTAGCTTCTTGTTACTAGTAGTAAGGCCAGGAGCTACTAGTGGCGTTCTTTAGGGGTTGTGGGGGGGAGAAAACTTCGAATCAGCGACCAGTGGTTCGAATCAGCGACCACGAATCAGCGATCAGATTTCCCGAATCAGCGACCAGCTGGGTCATGAATCAGCGACCACGAATCAGCGAGCAGGCACTGGTACCAGCGACCCGTTTTCGCGAAGTAGCGACCAGGTAGCAGG